TGTATGATCGTACTACGATTATATTAAGCTTATCTTAATTTTCAACATTTGCCAAAACGGAAACGTTTTTGAACATTTACTGTAAATTTTTAAAGTATAATATTCATTTGGAGTTTTGGTTCTTTATTTTTTTATTTTTAAGAATTAATTTGTCATAATGAAATTAAAATTGTAATAATTTTTTAATTTTGACGCGACAACTTATAGAATTATGTATGACAAGGTAATAGAAATTAAAACTCAAATAATGTTTTATTGTAATGTGTGATGGTAATAGTTTAAATAACTAGGTGGATTTCACAGGCACTAACAACACTTAGAGTGTATGATAATTCAATAAACATAGAAATCTAAATAACAAATTAGAGACATTTGGAACGAATACATTGAAGATGAGTAGCGGCTCGTCAAGTAACGCAAGTGAGGCACCGCTTCACCTTCAGTTTGGGTGTGCAATTTAAAATTATTTTTAATTTTATATAAATTTTATAATTTAGGTATAATTCTATATCGAAAATGTATTGTGTTTGTTTGTTTAATACGCAGAAATAAACAGATAGTTGTACGGTGAACGCCTTCTAAAAAAACATTGCGCGAACATCAACCTCGTACCGTACCACCTTTAGTATACGCAAGTGGCGCAGATCGAAACAGTCTGAATTCCGCTTCTCTTTGAAGCGTTATTTACTGCGGTTGTCATGGCAACGGGGCGGCCAACATGAGAGAACATTACGGCGTGGGGGAACGAGTGACGCGGATATTGAAGCAGCATTGTCATCGCCCATCGCCTAGTTTATACGATACGCGTCGCACAGTCCACAATTATAACTGTTCTGAGTTAATATTTGTTTTGTATAATAATTGTAGAAATGTTTCCTATGTATGATCCAGTATGTATTTTATTGGAAACGCCATTTTCCAGATGGAAAACTGGGGACAAAAAGGATTTTTTGATTGCAAGAGACCTGTGCCTTATTCTCTCGATATGGAAAAAAGGGGAAGTCAAAAGATAATGTGTACATTCGGAAGTTTCAGAATGAATGGTATTCGGAGTATAAGTGGTTGTGTGGAAGAGTTTACTTAAAAAAACATTTTTGTATGCCGTGTTTAATTGTGAGTGTAAAGTCGGGCGTGTGGGATAAAGGGAGATTTAACAATTTTGGGAAAGTCACACGAGGCTGCCGTAACCACAAAGCTTCTTTGCAACATACATGTACGGTGTGCGTTAATGTTCGCAGAAGTCATATTTCTATTTTTTATAAAATCTAAATGAAAATCTTTCTTACGAACGTCAGTTTTTCGGAAATATTGCAAATGCAACTAAAAATTTCCAGATTCATTTAAATCCGTTTGACCTTGAAAATTTTCGCCTGCGGCGTTTTTTTTTTTAGTCAATCGATGAATATTCTTCACCTATTCTCAATGCCACAAGCCGCTACTGTAAGGCAGTACAGTATTGGAGGTTATGAAGGCTTGCAAAAATTGTAATAAAATATCCAGGGTCGTATTTAAAAAAATGAAGTTGATGATGGTTCTGGTGAGACGAAACGTTACATATAAAAGTTGATTATGCCATGAGATAAAAGGTAAAAAGTTGTCATGATAAAGTGTTCTTCTTTTTTCAATATCACCTCAGACAAGGCTGAAATGAAACAACAAAAACGAATTTCCAAAATTTCGGCTTTTTTCAAATACATATTTCAGTCTTCACTTTTTAGAGACATAATGTTGGATTATGCAACTTTGTCCCCATTTAAGCCACTTCGTATCTCTTACCGTTTCCGAGATCCCTGTAGTACAAAGCGAATTTATAACAGCTTGTATACACAGGGTGTAACGTAAAATTTGGGAATTTGGATTTGGATTTTTTAATTTAAAAAATAAATTTTTGGCATATGAAGTTGCTCTACTGGTTTTCTTTTCCTAGCTACCGGTCGCTAAAAAGTTTCAAAAAATTTAGTTTTTCTCCAATAACTTTCTGTTATTTATTTCATACTGCAGATATTTTCAAAATATTTGTAACTTACCTTTATACCTCTACACAATTCTTTAAAGTATAACACTCCTATTGTCGTATTCCACCTTTCGAGCCAATTTCACCGATGTTTCCAATGTCACCCGCATCGCGGCCGATCTCGCCTGGGTCTGCCATCCCTGCGCTCAGTATTCACTGCAGCGACCCTCACAACCTGCAGACGAATCCCGGCACGCTGCAGGGCGATATTTGGAAACAACCATCTACTTTTTTAGTCATCTTTCCAATTGGTCCAAGGACGCTATCGTTAATAACTCAAAAAACTTATTGAGCGATCGGTGTCAAAATTTAATGCAGCACTCCTCAAGTCGCTGGCATTATCCCCCTAAAATTTCGTCCGAATCGGATGAGCAATAACGCCGTTTTACGGAGAAACGTGGATTTTACGTTTTCCACGTTTTTAGCCGTTCCGCTCATTCGATCTCGGCCGAAGAGTATCCCTAGGTGGTTATTATGTCCAAATTCGAGCCGAATCGTGCGACTACTAACGGCCAGGTAATCCATAATAGGATTCCACGTTTTCCTAGTTGCCTCCGGAAGTGTCCGCGCGATCTCGGACGAACCCTCCAAACACGGTACTACTTCGTGCCGTGCATCACCAGTCCACTTCTGAACCAGATCCATCCAGTACCTTCGTCCACTCCGGAAAGCCACTACAAAGACGGGAAAAATTTCGCCACACTTTCCAAGTTTCCCGTCTTTGGGCCGAAAGGACCGTTTTCCGAGTGTCCCACCACTCTGGCGGTTGGATGCGATGACCGGTAGCCTAAGCCGAGACCGACAGCAGAGTTTTTTCAAAATCCCCGATGCCGACATCAACTATCCGGAGAGGCTAGAGGGGAACGAGAACCGACGTCGACGACGGGCGCTTTTTGGTGGACGTTTTGGCGGACGATTCAAGAGCGCTCCGCCAAAAGTATGGAGATTCGAGGCTTTTACTGGAAAGCGATTGAACGTCGACTTCCGGCATGCAGTTCGTTAGTGGAAGTACATAGCGCGCAAATGAGCGACAGAGCATATTTTGAATAAATAGTATCTATGGTAAAAAACATGTGTATGTTAATTAAGAGAACTTATTATCCGTTTACTGTCTAAAGTAAAAAAAATCTTTTAACAAACCTTCCACGGTTTGTTGTACAAAAACCTGACACCAAACTCAAGAACTTTTGGAGCACACAGCTAAGATTATATTGCTTGGAAACCACTACTCGCTTCACGAGACATACCGCCCGAGGTAGCCCAACCTGAGGTGAAGACCCTGTTCGATAGCCCCCTGCATCGAAACAGCGGTAAACTCCAGGCTCTTTTTGAGACCTGCGTACCGTCCGAGCCAGACCACTTTCCTCGTCAAATCTCTAGGCGGTCACTTGTCGAGGCAACCTTCGTCGTCAAACCCCTACGAGACATTATCTTTGCGACCTACGAGTCCAAAGCTATAGTACGCACGTCATTGTGGCGGCGTACTCGAAATTTTAAAGAAGTTGTCCTTGCTTCTCAGGGCTCCCTCGAGAGACCCACCTTTCAGTAGAATCTAGTTTCTACAGTTTCTACATGAAGTACAAGAAGAAGACAAGAGTTTCTACAATACTTTCAGAGCAAAAGAGCTTGTTCTGACATTGTCGTACGGGGTAAGATGTATCTCTTCGACGCGATATCCAGTGTTACGAGGATCGGTGCCCTCGAATGTACAACTAACAAATCAGATCGTGATTCTATGGTCAAGACTGAGCTGGACGGGACCTCGTCCCCTTCCGGAGAGACCAGCGGTTACACGGACTGCCCTCACGCCTGTTTGCAGGCGAAAGATCTCCCGACACTCCGGGTGAAAGAGGAAATGGCCTTATTCCCCAACGCTATCTCGATTCTGCGTGGAGAGTCTGAGGGACCGAAGGTGGTAGCTCGTGGAAGTACGCGGCACGGCGCAGCCACAGCACCGTACGCGTTGAGGTCCGCTGCTACGCGGGTTACTGATGCCACCTCGACCACCCCTCACGACGCACCCATGGAGGCGAGTAGCACTCACGAGTTGCCACGAAGTGGGTCAACCACAAATACTCGGGACGAGGTTATACCTACGTACCAACCGGTAGAGTCCGGGGAATCCCTTGAGCCCGATCACGGTTCGCGGTCCGGCTCCGATATCGGCCTACCTCCGATTTCGGGTCTCTCGGAACGTGGAGACGTTGGCACGGACGATCCAGTACAATCAGCATTTCTACGAAATGGTACTCAGCGGGAGCAATACGCATCTCGTTCGGGTGCCATCCCATGCGAAAACCCCTTAGCCGGCCATGTTGTAGGTGACGTGGCCGGCTCTTTTCACATAAGCAATTCTGGTACATCGCCCGTCCGCTCTCATGATTTCCCTCGAATATTCGATCACCGCCTAAGAGGTCCATATCTAGAAAGTCTAACCCGATATGGCGCTCGACGTGGGGCTCGAACATCGTCGTCGAGATCTCCCACACGAGCTCGTGTACTAGACACTACGTCTGTAGGCCATATCCACCATAGACCACAGTCATTTGAGAATCTAGCACGACCTGGCGCCCAAAGTGGAGCTCGAAGCTCTGTTTCGATGTCTCCGCCGCGAGTTCAGGTCCCCGAATTACACCAAAATTCATAATTATTATGCACAACCGATCATAGTTCACGACATGGCGCCCAACGTGGGGCTCGATTCGAACTTCCGATGTCTCCTCCGCGGACCCATGCCGATGAAAGCAATCCAAATGATCATAGTTAACGACACTATTTATTTGTATAGGTTATGTTGCATGCAACAGCATGACATAAATATGAAAGTTTTGGTATTGGAATGAACAAAGACACAAAAAATATTAAAATGGAACAGACAATAATATAAGCTGAAAAGTTAATATTGCCTAAGTATTCAGGAAAAAATTTTTAATTGAAATTTCTAAAAAAGGCTCCCGAAAAGAAGTTACCATGTACTATATATTACCTGTTTATATCCAGCAAACATGAATGCCTCACTTCCTTCCATAGAAACTTCTAACTGGATTAACTGTTGAGATCTATTTTGTAAATGATAATATAAAATCATAGGTGTCCTAACAAAACCATGCGCTGGTGAAATTGTTTTCAACCCTAAAGGATTCCAGAGACATGGAAGACCACAAATGGTGATTTGTGTCGTTGTGCTATGGCCATCCTTCCTTTAAATAAAAAATATGTTGAAGTTACTTAAATCAAGATATTCCTGTTTTTTTTTCATGGACAATAAAAAATTTAAAAAAACTCCTGAATGTGTTCCTTTTTATGAGTCACAAATAAGAATAAATATACAGTCAGTACGATATTTGTTGAGAGAATTCCAAGGCCCCTGCTTCACTTCCTTGGAATTAAGCGCATACGACACCCGAGGTAGAAAGACATTGGCGACGTGGCACCGTAGCAGCTTGCAGTGCATACTGTGTTTTGCAGTTATGATGGGGTCTCTTCTTTTCTTAGGATTCTATCTCAATAAATATTGTACGGACTGCATATAAATTAAAAATAGATTAAAAAAATTGATTTGCGGAATTATAAAACTTAGTTATTTTAGTCATTAAAAAACACTAGTTATCACCTCACCTTCTCCACTTAATTGTATATTGTCCTATATTGGATACTTGTTCGATAGGTTTATCACATATTGCTAACCGCAATTCTGCACCCACTTCTTCATTATTAAATATTTTTCCTTCTAACTGATTACAAGAACTATTTTCTGTGGAACTCACCGGATTAATCTACAAATATATTATCCCTTTGTATTTTGTATTCATATGTGGGGTGTTCACGCTAAACTGGGACTTTTAGAATAGGTAGCAAAAGAACAAAGTTGTGAAAATGACAATTGTGTTTATTTTTCAATATAATACCTTTGTCGTGTTTATATACAGGGTGTTTTTGAATGGAGTAGCATAAATGATACCAGTGAATCTACATTTCAAAAGAACACGATCTGCAAAAAATCGCCTTAGTAAAATGTTCACCCCTGAAGAGATATGGGCCATCAAAGTTTCCAAAAAAATTATGAAAATTGGCTGTAATTTGAAAACCGAACGAGGTACAAATAACAAATTTTTTACAGGTTGTTTACTAATACAGATGCGAGTTTTCAACTATTTTTCGAAAATTTTAACCCCTCGAAAGGGGTTGAAATAACCACCCCTCAAGCCATTTTTTGCCATAACTTTTATATTTCGTAAAAACTCGATATCCAAAAATACGCATTAGATAAACTGGTTCTTTTAGAAACTTTTACCTCTCTAGCAATTTTCCTTTAAAACTTTTCGTTTATTAATAAAAAAATAAAATGTATTACCATTCACCTCACACCGTATATGATTGCAATCAATCAAAGAAAAACTAAGTGTGCTGCTGTCATGCCAGTTGTCACAATTAACTCTTCTGTAAGTTGTCACTGTTATCAGCTAAATACTTTTTGGGTGTAAATTAACAAGAATTATGCCAAATTTTACTAATGATGAATATGTGGACATGCTACAAGTGTTTTTTTCTACGATCGTGCAAAATTTACTACTTATTGCACTACCTACTGTGCCAAAAGTTTAACTTTTTTTACAGTAGTACAAAAAAAATATTGATTACAAGTTTAATCTAAGCATATCCATAAGTACCTAACGTCTGACATTGACAATTTGCGCAATTAATTTCCAGTTGTCAGTTAAAATTTTAATATTATGTAAAATACTGTTAAATAAAATTTGAAATAAAAACAATCGTAGAAAAAATGTTGCGTGCAACATGTGCAAAAAGCATATTTGTTGCACTTAACATGATTGCAGCTCTCAACTTCGTCTCGAGCTGCAAACTTCATGCATCGTACAACAAATACACACTCTTTACAGTAGTTGCACAAATAACTGTTTGAATGTCGCAGAAACTTTTATTAAATAGAAGTACAATGAAAACGAAACTAAGAAATAATTTATTATCAAAAAGAGAAAAAACAAAAAACTTAGTTAAAGGACATTTTCAAAATAATTGCCATTTCTTTCTAAACACAACCTAACACGTTTATCAAAGTTGTTACGGACTCGAGCAAAAATTATGGGATTGTTGCGAATCTCATCAGCCGCCGCGAATATTCTTTCCTGTAGCTCTTCAACACTGTCAACTGGGGTCGCATAAACAATACTTTTTATATGTCCCCAAAAGAAAAAATCCATGGGCGTTAGATCGGGAGAACGTGCAGGCCAAGAGATAGGTGCCTCATTGCCGCGACCTATCCAACGATTCGGGTAATTTAAATTAAGCCACCGCCTAACTACTACAGTGCTGTGAGCAGGAGCCACGTCATGCATGTTCCACATGGCCTTATTTCTTTTATAAGGAACTTCATTACAACATTCTGTCCCATGGATACATTGCCATTGTTGTCTACCATTCTGATAATTTGTCACTGAATTGAACAGTGCCATGCCAGCTGTTTAGCAGCAATATCATACATTTGCCACTTATTAGTCTTTCCGATCTCAACTGAAAAACCAAGAGGTTGGCAGTATGTACCAGGTTCGGTCGCTGACGCAGCAACTCGGCATTGAAATATTTGAAAAATTTGTTTCCATATTTATTTAGCTATACTCATATACAAGTCTGGTCGAACTAAACGTGGAGGTGGTAGAAGTGGATACGCCCAGTTGAAGAATACGCGCACGGGCAAACGGTGTATAACACAGCTGCACTGGGCGACTGGGCAATAAATCTCAGTTGTTGACAAATTACAGTGCAGTGCAGCAATGCGGAATTTAGTGTGATTCGGGTAAATTTATTTTACTATAGGCACCTTCTTTAATCATTCATATTACAATTGCGAAAGGAAGAAATAAGAGGGATATTTTGTTTACTAATATTATTACAACATGGAATTTTGGAAACCTTTTGAAACGGAACAAAACGAAATTTACCATCAATATTGAGGACATAAATAATTAAAATATATTGTCGGCCAAATGAACATATAATAGCAGTTTTCTACACATTATACAGCGTGTCCCACTAGTGCGGGAAAGTCCAATATCTATGTTAAAATGAGGAATATATGGATTTATCTTTTTACTGTGTTGCCACATTTCTCGGAATGTACAAATTAAAAATATATTCAACTATACAGTGTTCCATTTTCCTGGATAGACACCAACTTTGGTTTTTTAAATGGGAACACACATTTTTTATATTTTTTCGGATTCTACATAAAAAATAAAGGGTACTTTGTGTAGAATAGTTCTATTCAAATATTCAGTTTTTGAGATATCTCGTTTGAAAGGTTTTTCTAGTCGATATTGGTTGCTTATATTTTCTGATACTAACAGGTTATACTAATAGCTACTAAGCCCACTTTTTATCAGATGTTTAGTAAAGATGACTCTTCCGAATCATGCTCCAAAAACTGACCTGTGTTATACAGGGTGACCAAAATATCATGTCAAAATTGCCAATTGAAAAATTGAAAAATCTCGATTTTTTTAAATGCAACGCCCTGTATATTTTCATACCATGAGATGCAGAATTAAATTCTCTACAACTTTGCTATACCTGCTCCTATAACAAAATTCATTAGTATTTTATGAATTCTCATTTCTATGAAAAAATGCGAAGTTTACAAATAGCTTAAATGTAAAATAACGTAGTAGGCTCCTGTCAAATGATAATCTAGAAAATTTTCAATTCACATAGAAAAGCGACAGTAATAATTGTGAAATGAATTACTCTAAAGAAGAATTAGTAAATAAATAATAGAATAATTAGTAAAACTCATGGTAACTGTTTATTGGCAAGTCGTATTTAGCAAGCTAATAATCCAGATTTACAAAGATATCCTCGTACAAAGTGTTTTGTAAAACTGAAGGAGAGGTTTGAAAGAACAACAAATACAAATTATGAGAAGACAACAAGAACACACGCATAGTCTCCAAAACAGTAAATTAATATCGTGCATTTCTAACAAAAATAATAAAGACCTAGTTAAATTAGTAATTAACAGGTAACCGCTCAAAATGTCTGCCATTTTTCTATAGACATTAAGCAATTCTACGACGAAAATTGCTTGACACATTTCGCAGCATTTCCGGAGTTAGGGTCAAAAAAGGATTTCTTAACGTTGCCCGTAAATCTTCTACATCTGTCGGAGGAGTTTTATACACCCTGTCTTTTATATAGCCCCATAAAAAAAATCAAGACAAGGCAGGTCTGCGGATCGGGGAGGCCATGGAATTGGGTGCCTATCCACTTATCTGGATACAAATCATTTAAGTATTTTCTAACCTGAAACAGTTTTTCTATGAATTTACATTTTACATAATGAGAAAACTTACCGCCAGTGTGGAATGTGCAAGGGCACCATCATGTTGGAACCACTGACTGTTTAAGTCATCCGGAGGAATATGTCCCTGCAATTGAAGCAAGTCGTTTTGTAAAAATTTCAAATACCCATTATCAGTTAAGTTTCCTTCAAGAAAATGTGGTCCAATGACATATTCTCCGCATATTCCCGCCCAAACGTTGACTTTAAAGCGGTGTTGATGATCGTCTTGTCTTATTAATCTGGGATTATGATCGGCGTAATGGTGATAATTATGTCGACTCTCTCGACCAGTATTGGCAAAGGATGACTCGTCAGTAAATAACACCTTGGAAAAAAAATTTCATCTTGTTGTAGCTTTATAGTTGCCCACTCACAAAACTGTACTCGCTTCCGAAAATCTTGCTGTGTTAAGAATTGGTGATGCTCAGAATGATAGGGGTGGAAGTTGTTTTTCTTTAACGTTCCATTAACCACACTTTTGAAAATACTAATTTCATCACTAATTTCTCTGACACTTGTAGATGGATTTTGGACTGCACATTCCAAAATGTCAATTTGACTATCCTGATTACCACATGCATGTGTTCTTGTTGTCTTCTCATAATTTGTATTTGCTGTTCTTTCAAACCTCTCCTTCAGTTTTACAAAACACTTTGTACGAGGATATCTTTGTAAATCTGGATTATTAGCTTGGTAAATACGACTTGCCAATAAACAGTTACCATGAGTTTTACTAATTATTCTATTATTTATTTACTAATTCTTCTTTAGAGTAATTCATTTCACAATTATTACTGTCGCTTTTTTATGTGAATCGAAAATTTTCCAGATTATCATTTGACAGGAGCCTACTACGTTATTTTACATTTAAGCTATTTGTAAACTTCGCATTTTTTCATAGAAATGAGAATTCATAAAATACTAATGAATTTTGTTATAGGAGCAGGTATAGCAAAGTTGTAGAGAATTTAATTCTGCATCTCATGGTATGAAGATATACAGGGCGTTGCATTTAAAAAAATCGAGATTTTTCAATTTTTCAATTGGCAATTTTGACATGATATTTTGGTCACCCTGTATAACGCAGGCCAGTTTTTGGAGCATGATTCGGAAGAGTCATCCTTACTATACATCTGATAAAAAAATGGGCTTATTAGCTATTAGTATAACCTGTCAGTATCAGAAAATGTAAGCAACCAATATCGACTAGAACAACCTTTCAAGCGAGATATCTCAAAAACCGTGAATATTTGAATAGAACTATTCTGCACAAAGTACCCATCATTTTTTATATAGAATCTGAAAAAAAATATAAAAAATGTGTGTTTCCATTTAAAAAACCAAAGTTGGTGTCTGTCCAGGAAAAGTGGAACACCCTGTATAGTTGAATATATTTTTAATTTGTACATTCCGAGAAATGTGGCAACACAATAAAAAGAAAAATCCATATATTCCTCATTTTAACATAGATATTGGACTTTCCCGCACTAGTGGGACACGCCGTATACAAATTTTTATAATTTTTTACCTTTAGCAGAACATTTTAGGGGCGCCTATAAAATACATTAAATTTTATTGCTAGGCGTTTTTATACATGTTCAACAGACTTCGGAAAGACTGTACTAGCACTTCTGGCACCTATAAAACTAAAAGTCCCATTTTGGTCTGAACCCCCGTCATATATTTCTATAATATAGAAAGTTGAATGTAATTAAATTTATTTTTAGTCATTTTCCCTTCTTTTTATATTTTTTTCAATAGATTTGCATACAATTTTTAACATGATTCGTTATTTTTAATAATAATATAATAA